ACCATACGTTGCAACAGCACAGCTTCTCAGTGAACCTGGAGAAGAGCCATCTTGAGCCGACCACACACATCCAACACCTGGGCATGGTCATAGACTCAGTCGCTTGTCAGGTCTTCCTCTCTCCAGACTGCCTGCAGAACCTCAGGCGCAGGATATAGCAGTGTCGCAGATTCAGGTCTGTCCCGATCGTCATGCTATCGCAACTCCTCAGAATCATGATCTCCTGTCTAAAGGTGGTTCCCTGAGCTCGACTCCATGCCAGGGAACTACAGTGGTTCCTCCTGCTGATGCAGAGGGCCAAGACCAGCAATTCTTCAAGGAAGGTGAGTCTCCCCCCTCCACAAGGTCCTCCGGTCCCTCTCTTGGTGGAGGACGACAGCTGTCGAGAAGGGGTGACTCTTCAAGGAACCCGAAAGGATCGTGGTAACCACAGACCCCAGTCTGGTCAGCTGGGGGGCTCACCATCAGGGCCAGCTTGCTCAAGGTCTGTGGAGCCAGAGGGAGGCTGCCCAAGGCATAAACTGGCTAGAGCTGAGGGCCGCCCGCCTCGCCTTACGACGGCTCTCGCACCTGGTTGTGGGTCAACATGTTCTATTGTTGATAGACAACATGGCCACCAAGGCCCACGTAAACAGGCAGGGCGGGACTCACTCCAAGAGGCTCATGATGGAGGCGGAGTTGCTGGGCAGGTGGGCAGAACGCCACCTGGCGTCCATAAAAACGGATGCATCTCCGCAATCAGGAGGCAGTTTGGCTGAGCAGGCAACAGATCGGCCACACCGAATGGCGGCTGCATCTGGACCTGTTCAAGCAGTTCGTGAGGAGATTTGGCACACCGCAAATAGACCTCTTTGCCACACATTCCAACACACATCTGCCACAGTTCTTCTCCCGATACCATTCACCATTGGCGGAGGGGACGGATGCGCTGAGGTGCAAGTGGCCCCCAGGACTTTTGTACGCATTCCCCCCTCTGCCACTCATTTCGCAGGTTGTGACCAAGATACTGGCGGAGGGAGCGGAGGTCCTCCTGGTCGCGCCCCACTGGCCCAGGAGGTCCTGATATGTGGACCTTGTAGGTCTCTCGGTCCAGAGACCGTGGAGAATTCCTCAAGACCAGATCTCCCTTTGCCAGGGAGCCATCAGCCACCCAGATCCCCAGTGATTGCAGTTAGCCATCTGGCACTTGAAGGGGAGCTCCTGAGGAAGCAAAGACTCTCAGACAAGATCATTCATACTATCCAGGTGTCCAGGAGGTCATCCACCACCAGAATATATGATGCCACCTGGGCTGCCTTTTCAGCCTGGTGCCGGAAGACAGGTGTAAGGGACGTATTGGCCTCGGTTCCAGAGTTGCTGGATTTTTTGCAGGAGGGGTTGGACAAGGGGTTAGCCCGCAACACCCTCCGCCGTCAGGTTGCGGCCTTGTCCACAGTCCTCGGCAAGGGGTCCTCCCGTCCCTTGAGCCAGCATCCTCAGGTCAAGAGCTTCTTGAAGGGAGCCACCAATGTCAGCCCCCGACCGGTCCACCGTTACCCATCTTGGGACTTGCCTCTGGTTCTTCGAGCCTTGACGGGGACGCCGTTCGAACCTCTCCATCAAGCAAGTCTTCATCATCTGACCCTTAAGACTACGTTCCTCATGGCTATCACATCCGCTCGGAGGGTGTCCGAACTGGCAGCCTTGTCTGTCAGGGCAGATCTTTGCATCATTCATACTGACAGTTATTCTGAGGTTGGATCCCACGTTTGTTCCCAAAGTCAACACTATCTTCCATAGAACTCAGGAGGTGATCCTCCCTAATTTCTGTCCCAAACCTGAACACCCTAGAGAATGTGACTGGCACAAGTTGGATGTGCAACGCGCTGTTAGGATATACATTAAAAGAACCAAAGAGTTTCAGCATTCCGAATTGTTGTTTGTATTGTTCCATCCTAGGTCGCTGGGTTACAAGGCGTCTTCTCATACGGTTGGACATTGGTTGCAGGCCTGCATCAAGCTTGCTTACAAACATCAGGGCAGGACTGCGCCTAGCCCTGTGACCGTTCACTCGACAAGGAGCGCTGCGACTTTGGCGGCTTGGGCAATCCAGGCTTCCATTCTCGATATTTGTAGAGCGGCTACGTGGGCATCTCCCACTGCATTTATCAGGAACTATAAAATTGACATCTTTGCCTCAGCCGAAGCCTCTTTTGGAAGGAGAATTCTACAAAAAGTAGCAGAGACTCCGAAGACTCAGGTCTTTGCCCACCCTGGGACATTATAGCTTGGGTATGTCCCACGCTTGGACTCTCCAAGCAGCGCACTGGAGAAAGACCGTTGGCTTACCTGAACGTTCTCTGGGCGCTGCAAGGAAAGTCCAATCCCTCCCGGGTCCTGGTAATTTGAGACCACTGACTGAATGTGACTGTGAAACAGGCTTCCTTAGAAGTTGCTTCTTCGTTTTAAAACTGAGATAATGAAAGCAAAGGGAGGCGTGGCCAAGAGAGAAAAAACTCACTCAGTCCTAGGGCAGATAGACTGTGTTAACCCATGCTTGGACTCTCCTTGCAGCGCCCAGAGAACGACCGTTCAGGTAAGCCAACGGTCTTTCACAACTTGTGGAGGCAGGTTGTTCCACTGATTAATTGTTCTAACTCAGGAAATTTCTCCTTAGTTCTAGGTTGCTTCTATCCTTGATGAGTTTCCCCCCATTGCTTCTTCTCCTGCCCTCTGGTGCTTTGGAGATGATCATGGGTGGGGGAGAAAATGATGCAAGGGACATTTTAGATTTAGGTTTTTTCCTATAATCATTTTTATCTGTTTTTGGAGGGTTTAAAGAAATGGGATTTTAATGGGATCAGCATCCCTTAAAAACTGAATCTCACCCCATGAGCAGATACGGCTCATCTCTGCTCTGCCAGGTATTAAAATTACAGCTGTCCCACATAGCCAGGGGTGAGGATGCTAGGTCAGCAATAACATTGGGAAAATCATCTTCAGTCAGAATAATTGAGTTGGAAGGGACTTTGGAAGATCTTCTAGTCCAGTTTTTGGCCATGGCCCCTGTTTTCGGCCATGATGGCCTCCTGCAGCCCTCTGCCAGTGAAAAGGGAGCTCCGGGGTGGTGGTGCATGCCCCCCCACCCAAACCCCAATTTCACTGGCAGAGGGCTATCAAAACAAATTAAAAACAAAACAAAAGGAAAGATGTTTCCCCTTTTGCATTTGAGCATGCAAGAAGGGAGAGGAAAGGAGAAAGAGGAAAGACAAAGAAAAAGAAGGGAAGCTGGGAAGAGAGAAAGGAAGGAAAAAGAAGGAAGGAAGGATAGCAAAAACACTTAGACTTATAGACCGCTTCATAGTGCTTTACACCCCTCTCTAAGTGATTTACAGAGTCAGCCTTTTTCCCCCAACAATCCTCATAGTACCCACCTCGGAAGGATGGAAGGCTGAGTCAACCTTGAGCTTGGTGGGATTTGAATTGCCAAATTGTAGGCAGCCGGCAGTCAGCAGAAATAGCCTGCAGTACTGCACTCTAATGACTGCGCCACCTTGGCTCATGATGTAAATTCTTAATGAAAATACATCGGAAGGAAGGAAGGGACTTAGGAAGGAAAGGAGGAGGGATGGACTGAGGAAAGAAGGAAGGAAGGAAGGAAGGAAGGAAGGAAGGAAGGAAGGAAGGAAGGAAGGAAGGGACTTAGGAAGGAAGGAAGGGACTTAGGGAGGAGGAAGGGACTGAGGAAGGAAAGAAGGAAGGAAGAAAGGAAGGGACTTAGGAAGGAAAGGAGGAGGGATGGACTGAGGAAAGAAGGAAGGAAGGAAGGAAGGAAGGAAGGAAGGAAGGAAGGAAGGAAGGAAGGAAGGGACTTAGGAAGGAAGGAAGGGACTTAGGGAGGAGGAAGGGACTGAGGAAGGAAAGAAGGAAGGAAGAAAGGAAGGGACTTAGGAAGGAAAGGAGGAGGGAGAAACTGAGGAAGGAAGAAAGGAAGGGACTTAGGAAGGAAAGGAGGAGGGATGGACTGAGGAAGGAAGGAAGAGACAGGAAGGAAGGAAGGGACAGGGAGAGGGAGGAAGGAGGGACTGGGGAAGGAAAGAATGAAGGGACTGAGGAAGGAAGGGAGAGGGAGAGGGAGGAAGGAGGGACTTAGGAAGGAAGGAAGGAAGGGACTTAGGAAGGAAAGGAGGAGGGATGGACTGAGGAAGGAAGGAAGAGACAGGAAGGAAGGAAGGGACAGGGAGAGGGAGGAAGGAGGGACTGGGGAAGGAAAGAATGAAGGGACTGAGGAAGGAAGGGAGAGGGAGAGGGAGGAAGGAGG